ATATATATATATATATATATATGACTTTATTACAATTCGACTAAAGAGTTCATTATTAAACAATGTATTAAATTTTATTTATTTATTTTTATTTTAACTTTTAATTTTAATTCATTTGTAAGAAAATACAAAAAAAATATTCTTAAATATAGAAAATATAATTTGTTTATCATGACGAGTTAAAATAATAAAAAACACATAATTTTTATAAATAAAAATAACATTGTAATAACTAATTTTATGTTTAAAATGGATAATTAAAGGTAGCATTCCTCGCATAGTAGATAAACTTATAATAAAAAAATTATTAAAATATAAACCATAACAAAATATCTTTTTATACTTTAATATATTCAAATAGTTTATCTTATATGTGAGTTGTTATTGTAACAATAAAATGTTATATGTGAGTTGTTATTGTAACAACAAAATCTTATATGTAAGTTGTTGTTATAACAACAAATTATTGTTATATAAAATATGGTCACCCTATGTATTCAAACTAGAATCATGTCTTCATCGAAGGAATTTGTGTTCCACTCCTCTAAACTTCTATTGCATGGAGCTTTCTAAACCTTTACTGAATGGAGCTTGGAGGAGTAGAACACAATTTTCTTCCATGTAGCCTCTATAACTCTGAATTGAAGACATAGTTGTCAAACCGAAATCCTTAATTCTCCTATTCATTTATCAATCCAACAATACATTCTTTACTTTTGTCTCCGTCAATAGTCCTCATGACATCTTGTGCACTAAAGAATAATGGTTTGTATATTATAAATGCTAATTATCACAAAAGATATTATAATTTTTAATTATTTTATAATATATTGTTTATATGATTATTATATCTATTTATTTATTTTACTGTTAATATTTAAGCTTCTATGAATGTGCCACGTATCATCTGAACCTTTATGAATGTTACATATATCATTTGAACATCTAAGATCTTGATACATATCATCCAAATTTTTATAAATGTGATATGTGTCTTCCGAATATATTGTGTATTAGTAAATGTATTTATAAATGAATATGATATAATTTTTATTATTTCTTAGACAAATATAATTGTTGTTCACATGTTTCTGAGTAATCTGTTTGTCCACCCTATAAAGGTGTCTAAATTGGTGTTTTCTCATTTTGTTCATGAATTCTTTTTATAATTTTTAATTAAGATTTTAAAATAAATTTTTTTAATTAAATTCTTCCTTTATATTTTGTTTGATTTATCTTTTTGTATTAAAAATTTGTTTACATTTCATAAAATTTTACAAAATATTTATTATATTTACAAATTTATTTAACTACATTGTAGTGTTATATCATCATCCATATGAATCAAATTTTAGTAATAACTTAATATGATTGTTCAAATATGATGATATAATAATAATTTTTAATTTTAAGAACTAAATTAGAAAAAAAAAAATTCTTCTAAAAAGATTTTATGAAAGAAAATTCATAAGATATTATATTTTAAAAATAACTCTTCAAAACACCTCTCTCCCCCTCCCCCATCTCTCTCTCTATATATAAAAGACTTTATTGCAATTTTACTAAAAGGTTCATTATTAAATAATGTATTAAATTTTATTTGTTTATTTTTATTTTAACTTTTAATTTTAATTCATTTGTAAGAAAACACGTAAAAGAAATTTAAATATAGCAAATATAATTTGTTTTATCATGATGAGTTAAAATAATAAGAAACACATAATGTTTTATAAATAAAAATAATATTGTAAAAACTAATTTTGTGTTTGAAATAGATAATTAAAGGTAGCATTCCTCACATCATTAGCATGGTGGATAAACTTATTATTAATAAATTAATTTTTTTGTTAAAAGATAAATCATAACAAAATATCTTTTTGTACTTTAATATATTCAAATAGTTTATCTTATATGTGAGTTGTTATTGTAACAACAAAATATTATATGTAAGTTGTTATTATAACAACAAATTATTGTTATATAAATATGGCACCCTGTGTGTTCAAACTAGAATCATGTCTTCATGGTAGGAATTTGTGTTCCACTCCTCTAAACTTCTATTGCATAAGACTTTTTAAACCTCTACTGAATGGAGCTTGGAGGAGTAGAACACAATTTTCTTCCATGTAGCCTCTATAACTTTGAATTGAGGACATCTTTTTCGGACAGAAATCTTTAATTCTCTTATTCATTTTTCAATCTAACAATACATTCTTTACTTTTGTCTCCATCAATAGTCGTCATGACATCTTGTGCACTAAAGAATAATGGTTTGTATATTATAAATGCTAATTATCACAAAATATATTATAATTTTTAATTATTTTATAATATATTTTTATATGATTATTAAATTTATTTATTTATTTTACTGTTAATTTTTAAATTCATTTGAACATCTAAGATTATGATACATGTCATCCGAATTTTTATAAATATGATATGTCTTCCGAATATATTGTGTATTAGTAAATGTATTTATAAATGATTATGATATAATCTTCATTATTTCTTAGACAAATATGATTGTCGTTCAAATATTTCTGAGTAATCTGTTTGTTCACCTTATAAAGGAGTCTAAATTGGTGTTTTCTCATTTTGTTTATGAATTATTTTTATAATTTTTAATTAAGTTTTTAAAATAATTTTTTTAATTAAATTCTTCTTTTATATTTTGTTTGATTTATCTTTTTGTATTAAAAAATTGTTTACATTTCATAAAATATTACAAAATATTTATTATATTTACACATTTATTTAACTACATTGTAGTGTTATATCATCATACATATGAATCAAATTTTAATAATAACTTAATATGATTGTTCAAATATGATGATATAATAATAATTTTTAATTTCAATAACTAAATTAGAAAAAATAATTCTTCTAAAAAGCTTTTATGAAAGAAAATTCATAAGATATTATATTTTAAAAATAACTCTTCAAAACACCTCTCTCCCCCTCGCTTCATCTCTCTTTCTCTCTATATATAAAAGACTTGATTACAATTTGACTAAAGGGTTCATTATTAAATAATGTATTAAATTTTATTTTTTATTTTTATTTTAACTTTTAATTTTAACTCATTTGTAAGAAAATACTTATATAAAAAAATTAATATAACAAATATAATTTTTTTTAATCATGATTAGTTAAAATAATAAGAAATAACACATAATGTTTTGTAAATAAAAATAATATTGTAATATCTAATTTTGTGTTTCAAATAGATAATTAAAGGTAGCATTCCTCACATCACTAACATAGCACATAAATTATAATAAATTATCTTTTTGTTGATATATAAACCACAACAAAATGTCTTTTTGTACTTTAATATATTCAAATAGTTTATCTTAGATGTGAGATGTTATTGTAACAACAAAATCTTATATATAAGTTATTATAACAACAAATCATTGTTACCATAACTACACCTTTATCAAAACTACAATGCCTCTATATATGTAACTCATGCTTAATTCTTAATGAGAGAATAAAATTTATTTCTACAATACTCTTAAATAGGGATCAACCTTTTATATAAATATGGTCATCCTATGTATTCAAACTAAAATCATGTCTTGGTGGAAGAAAATTATGTTCTACTTTTCTAAACTTCTATTGCATAAAATTTTCTAAACCTCTATTGCATGAAGCTTGGAGAAGTAGAACACAACTTTCTCCCATGTAGTCTTTGGAACTTTGAACTGAGAGCATCTTCATCAAAACGAAATCCTCAACCCTCCTATTTATTTACCAATGCAACAATACATTTTTTTTACTTTTGTCTTTATTAATAATAGTCATGACATCTTGAGCGCTAAAGCAATAAGAGATGGAAATTGAGAGCATCAACGAAGACTATTACAGATAGAACTGAGGAGAGAAAAAAAAAACACAAAAAAGGAAGAATGTAGAGTGATGATTAATTTAAAGATAGGATCGACAAAAGACGGGGAGAATTTGCGCAAAGATTAGTCAAATAAAGGAGGCCTTGCCACAGTAGAAAACTCCGGATGCGAATTTCTAAATAAAGAAAACCACCGTTGAATAAAGATTTACCTCACAAATTCTAAACGTATATAACAGGCAAAAATATGTTGAGATATACTTTCTTTTGGTACATAAGATATACATTAATGCCATGACCAAGAAAACCAAATTGTTATCAATATTTTATGTAAATTATATTTTATCATAAAACGTGCATTGTGAATTATGACATTCTTTTATTTTTTAAAAATTACAAGAACATTTAATGTAGAATATTTTGATGACATCCAATAAAATTTCACTATTACAATATTAGATTAGTGAATGAAATGATATGGAATGCCGCTGGATGTAACAGTGCACATAAATTAAATATTTATAAAATTAAAATTCAAACTCATTTTTCCCAAAGGGCCACAAGTACATGATAGCGCTAGTATCATAAAGATGGGCATAAACCGCCTGCCTATAAGCTACGAATGGAGTCCTCTGGTTTCAAGTAAGACAGCAAAAGCCAATCAATTGAACAAGATCTCATTCCACCAAAACCATAACAAAAAAAAAGGGATATAGCATGAACATAAGGCCTCTGTATGCCCATACAAAAGAAAGCATATATCGGCCAAATGAAGATAAGTGGACACGGAAGAGAACCCCATTTTTGTCTGATCACACAAAACAGTTACAAATTCAACTAATAAGGATAAGACGACTAAAATGCCACTCAAACGCAAAGGTTGTATAAATCACAAATCATAATAAAATACACTGGAACAAGCAAAGCTTGTCAAAAGTGCAATAGAATTTATGCCACAACTTGGAAAATTGAGAGTTTGGGACCATAACTACCGAAGTTGACCATCCCACAAACTAGGATATTTCCATATGAGTAACTAAGGCTTAAGGGGAGCTCCCACGAAAGCCTACTATTTATAATGGATTTAGGTGGCACGGCTTTTGAACACATCAAGACCCATCTCAGTACGATCAGTTGCTTGCAACTCTACCTGAATTCCATCCAGCTCCCTCTTGAATCTGTCTTTGGAGCTTGCATAAATCATCTTGTTCCTCACCCTTGATGTATCGGGGGACCTACCAACAGGAGCAACAAAATTATTGCAGACAAAACACACAGCATGGAAAGCTATCAGCAGATCCAAAAGCTAACATTACCATGCAATGAAGAAAATCCTGCTCTTAGGGACATTCCCTTCAGTCAGATACTCAAAATCATAAACAGCATAGCGGCACTCGTTCTCAGGAAGGCAAGCAGTGAAATCTTCATAGCCTTGGGCTGGCTCACCAAGCTTCTCCACAACGACTTGCTTCTGAACCTCCTCAATCTTAAACACTATGAAACGGTATGTCCTCTTTGCCTTGAGCTCCAAAAACTTTAACTTGCAGTCATCATGGACTGCCATACCTGATGCCGCGTTCGCCTATAGAATCACAGTTACAGACAACCACCATGGTCATCAATCCCATAAAACATATTAATCTTTTTGCCACTTAAGTTGTTATTCGACAAAAAGCAAAAAAAAAAACAAAAAAAACAAAGGGTTGCTAGTACAACAGGGTTGAAAAATGTCAAAGAAAAATCAAACGGTTAAAAAATAGAGAATCAAATCATAGATGATACGAACATGTCGCGAACTAAAGAACAGAAGTAAATAATACTTCTACAAACACAGTATCGTCCAAATCAAGCGGCCAGAAACAAACAGTAATTAGTGTCAAAATAAGTAAACATCGATAAAAATCCGTGTCATGTCTGTCGTGTCTTGTTCAATCCCAAGATAAAATCGTATTTATTCAATAAGAAATCTAATAAAAGAAACTTCACCAAAATAAATCTAATAAAAGAATAACAATAATGTAACCAACAAAAAAAAAAAGAGAGAGAGAGAGAATATATGCTATTATTGAAAATTCTCAATATTCCACGCGCTTAGCCCGAAAAATTTAAAATAAATAAATAAAATCGAATCCAAATGTCAGATCACAAAACTCATTCCTCCACAACAGATCAAACACATCACGCATCACACGCCGTTGTAACTTGCAATCCGCATTAGAACAATCATAATTAGCGATCAATTCGGAAATAATTCAACCGAAACACCGAAACCAGATCTGAAACGACACGATTTATTATTCTCAAAATATTTATAAAAAAAAAAAAGCACAGTTCAAGTTTAGCGATCAGATCAAAGAGGAATCCAGCTCGGACAGGAAACAGAGAAGAAATTTGGAGTCCACTAAGCGAAAACGAAAATCGAAATTGGCGGATTCAGTTATGAGTGTGAGAGCATAAATCGGAAAACGAAAGGAGAGAAGAAAAAAGGAGGAGGAGAAAATACTGACCATGTGATGATGATGTTGTTGTGGTAGTTGGAGAGAGCGACGGTGGAGGAGGAGATATAGGTGGGAGCGCGTGAGAGTGTGTGATCGGAGGGTTCGGAGAGGAAAAGGGGGAATAAGAGAGAATTGGGAAGAAAGAGGGTGTGTGAGGTGTGGTGGAGCGTGACGAAATTATTAATATCCCAAGCGCCATGCCTTTTCTTTTCGATGGCCCATTGGGCCTCCTTGGCCCAACTTATTTCGTCTCTGTAATGCTATGCTCTGTGGTCCATCACATTCACATTGAGTTATTCACTTTTGTCCCTCCTATTTCACGGTCTTCCCGACCAAATGTACCTTATTCCACCTAACATCCAATCTTTCCACCTCCCAAATTCTACCAAACACTATAATCTCAGGGTCCCAAACACTACATTTTGTCCATACAAATTACATCCATTCAGTTAATCAAAATTGTATACATTGTTACTATTTCGGTTTAATTTACTCTGGATTTTCAACTTGACTTTTATAATAAGGTTTAATTAATTTGATTTGTATAATTTTATAAATTTTTTCTTTTAATACTTATAGTTAAAAATATTTTATTTTAATCTTTATATATACTATTTTTGTTTTCTTTTTGCTACATTTGTCATTATAAAAATCAAAAGGTAAAATTTATGAAATTACACCAACTTAAAATAAACAAAATAGTATATAAAATAGAATATTTTTAATTATAGAAACTAACAAAATTTATTGAACTATAGGGATAAAAAAGATAATTAAATCTCAAAATAATTTTTAAGAGTTTAATTTTAACTTATTATATCATATTATAATTGAATTTGATATTAGTGGATTTACATTTTATAACTTATGAATTTTATTAGTCACAATAAATAACGTGATAATTAAATGTTGCATGTATGATATTTTTACATAAATACTTCCACTAGACCTATATATAAACAAAAATAATTAATTTCACATATTAGGAAAGTTCATTAAATGTATTTAATTTTTATAATTTTACATAAATATATATATATATATATATATATATATATATCCTAAAATATCCTTAAGTGCATTCATTGTAAATAGTTTTTTCATTTATTATCATAGAGACATTTTGGGATTAAAAGTATTAAATAAAGTTAACTTGATTGAAATTGGTTCATATTTCAGTCCAAAAATGTGAAGTATTTTTTTTTACTTATATATAAATTCAGAGGAGTATCTAATAAGAATTCACTGATTTACCATGTAATCTTATTCAAAATCAACATTTTTTTAATTATATATTAAATTATTATTGGATCATAGTAAAAAAAAAAAATCAATTTCAACTAAATGCATTTTTTTATATTAAAAAATCACAGAAATAGTTATGTCACGTGATAATTTATCTATTCTTAATTTGTTTATTTTACCAAACTTGTATGAATAGAACCCATACGAGTTTTTTTATTTTTGTGAAAATTTTTAAGCAAAACTAAATGGATTTTTTTTTATATATGAAAAAGCAAGGATAATCTCCGTAACCATCGCTTAACTCAATGGGCAGCAGTTGCTTCACTAGAAAAATAAAGCTTACTAGTTACTAGTTTCCCAGGTGGCTTTGTTTGTGTTGTGCTGCTATGTTGATCATCCTCACGAATATAACGTATATAATTGGAAACCCAACAGTAAAGTTGGATCGAATTTTCACCTCAAATTACCACAAGGCTGAGAGAGAAATGTGGTGTTAATCATCACGCAAGTTTATGTACACTAAGAAACGCCTCGATTCAACATTTGTTTATGTTGTAATCATGATTTTGGAGTTTATGATAACGGATTCATTGCATGTGAACTCCATTTGCATTACAAGTTTATTTATTTTGATAAATATTTGGAAATTATTGTGGCGCCAATGTAATTGTATAATGCTTCGCAAAATTTCATGTCAGTTTCAGATCTTAAATATAGTTGATGTGTACGAGACAAGCATCGGTACAATGAAAAAGCAGCTAGAGACAGCTCGTCAACAATTATGAGCTTGCTCATGCTGAAAAGCCTGTGGCGTAAACTAAATAACCACAGAAAGGAATTTTTTAATTCATTATAACAGATCAGCCAATAATGCTCCTAATCACACTTCTAAAACAGGTAATAAAAGCTTTTCTAACTCTCAAGATAGCAAAACTTTTACTTCTGTCATTTCTAAAGCAACTAGGAGGATGCTGAAGTTTTTGGGATCTCTTTTAATGTAAATAAACACAGACAACACGATACTATGGCTTAGAAAGGCATCATAGATTCATAGTTCATCATGTATTCTTTGTTCTAAAGGAGCTTCTGTATTATGAACTCGATCGCCTCTGACATGATGAAGATTCACGTCATCTACAACAGCTTGGGGTCTTAGCTCTGCCTGTCCCACCATACCAGCTTTTATGGCATCAGTAACCTTTCTTTGCAACGCAAGTATTCCAATCCGCTTGGAAACAACATAAAGAACAGCAAGGGAGAATAACAAAAAGCCAACCCCAAGAATCACCCTATTCAAATACAAGTTATGAGTTCATTGTTAGCAGTAGCGTTCAGGAAGAACAAACTGGGTGATTATAAAATCAATTTATCTTTTTTCCTTTCCATACCTGTCTATGACATCTTGACGTTGCATTGTGGAGAGAAGGTTTCGGGTTCTCATCAACAACGAGCGGTGTCCTTTATATTCACTTTCAGCCTTTTTTAACACTCCAGTTGATTCATCTATACATCAGAACAATGTGGTAAAATATATATATACAGAACAAAGTTATTATTTCACACTCCTCATAATCATAAGCAAACTAATGAAAACAAATTCAACATCTCAATTCATCAAGTCAAAACCAATACCATTGAACTAAAGTTTTAACAAGCGCTCTAGCATAAACAGTGAACAAAGAAGAAGCAACTTTACATAATGCACCAAAGTGAATGTAAAAGAACCTGCACAAGCTAAATTGCACAAAATCATATTCCTAAAAGAGAAGCTATAACGCAGTACATCATCTACATGACATAAGGAGCTAAAGGTCATCCAAAATAGTATAACTAATTCATTGTTATTTGGCAGACTCAAGATCAGGACTTAGTTGTTAGTGGCCAAAAGATCAGGAAAGCGCCATAGTAATTTCGCTACCTACTTTTGGAACCAAATTTCCAAGACCTAACCCCCTTTGATTTTAGGTTTGCAGCAAAACCTTCAATTAACAAGATCTCTTCTCTAACCAGTAACCACCAAGATCAGACCAAAGATAACCACTCATTTTTTCTATCCTTTGAGCCATTCCCGTGATCCATAAAAAAAATAAAATAGGAAGATATAAGAAACGGATGCAAGACAAACAATCTAAAAGGTAATCTGGCTACCCAAGGAATAGAAAGAACCCTTGAAACTGTCGAAGCTTATAGTGAATGGCCTGATCCCAGAATGAAATAGGCCAAGGATTGCAATTCAAAGAAACACCTAACAGACCACTGCAAGATGTGAAATAGGCCTCATCCTATAGATCTTGTGAGTGGCCTGATTCCAGAATGAAATAGGACAAGGATTGCAATTTAAAGAAACACCCAAGTCATCAATCCCATACAAATCTTAGTCATCAATTCCATACAGCGGTTTAGAGCAGCCAATCCCAAAACCTGCTATCTGAAGATAGAAAATAGTCGAATACAATGCAAATAATTTATATTTCACATATATTAATGCACAAAATTAATTTATAAATGAAAAATAAAAAGCTTCAAAATCTAAGATACAGCTGCAGCAAACAGGGGCTAGAAACAGTGTAAGGCAAGTAACAATGCAAAAATATATACCAAGGATAATGAATACAGTGCAAATAATTTATAGTTTTATACTATACAGTAAAATAAAAATGCTCAAAACTAAAGAAGAGTATAACAGCAACATGAGCTGGAAACATTGTCCAAGGCTATAAATAGATAGAATTGAAATTAAAAAGAAATATAACATGAAAAATGAAAATATTTCATTGAGGCTAAGGCTAATGATGAGCAATAAATCCTGAACAACTAGGAGAATAATGCAGAATACTGAAATCAGACAACTTAAGGTAATTTTTCAAATAGGTGAAGAATACTGAAACAAATAACACAATGAACAGAGGAGAGAGACATAACACAAGGAACTGGCTATAAAAGCACTAAGTTGCTGGAACTGGAAAATGAAAGAGAAGGGAGATGCACAGCAGGAAAAGGATGTGCGAAGCAGGAAAAGTGTGCACAAAAAAGGTTTTTCACTCCTGCTAAGTGGGGTGGTTATGAAGAACATCATCCCAGTAATACACACTATGCAAAAAGATGATAAGATGGAACTACTGCTGCAGCTTGGTGCCATGACATGACGCTATTGACAATATTAACTACTCTGATTTATTAGACTTGTTAGATCACTTTAACATTGTTGCTATTACATAATTTAGCCTGTTGTAATATAGTCAACTGTACCTAGGTCACAGCTCAGTACTTCAGTTAACTAATTTTCTGATGGTTTTCTACAGTTACGTCAGATATCTCTACAGTTACTGTTCTGCTGTAACATAATCAATTAGAGTTTGGTTAACTGCCTAACGAACTATATATAGTTAGATCTTGTATATAACTACTCAGTAATTACATGGTTCACATTTCAGATTTCTCTCCTCATTTCCTTAGTTTCTCACACTTTATATCATTTTCCTTTCACAATTTCTGGTTTTTAAACAATTAATTAGCCTCATTACTTTTAGCTAGCCTAAAAATCTGATAGAGATACTGAACATTCACAAAGTATTGCTGCTCTAGAACAAAGAGACTAGTAATCATTAATAAATTGAAAGACAACGTTACTTCATCTCAACCTACTTAATACCCTCGATTCCTATCAAGTATCAACAGCTGTTAAAAATTTATGACTTACTACTAAGGAGTTAAGAAAATAGGTAGAAGGTTCCCTTACCTAACTCACTACTGCCCAACAGAAACCAAGCCTTTGGCTCTCCATTAGCAGTTGAGAAACAACTACAAACCCACTTTTTCCATCTAAAGTTCTAAACTAAGATTATAGTTTGAAACTCATTCCCTGCAGCCTGAAGTTATAAATGAAATAGCTGCCACTGCCAACTAATTTGAAACTCATTGCTGAAGCCTTCGTTCTCCCAATCTAACTGACTGATTTGGCCAGCTTGAAACTATTTTATACATTTTTCTTAGGCTTCATATAAATTTCACAAACACCAAGAAGAAAACATGATGTAATAGCATTATAATTAAAGTGGACATAGAAAGATAAAAGAACCATCATCAATACACAGGGGGAGAGGGCGGAAAATGTACCTACCAAGAGTCATGAGTGTGGTTGTGTTTCTTTCAACCTCCTGATTAACAGAGATCCAATGAGAATGATGACCAACACATAAAAAGGATCATATTTTATAGACTAGAAAGCACGATAAAAAAAAAAATTAAAAAGAAGGATACCTAACTACTAACCTGAACCATCAATTGACGGGTTCGACGAAGGCTCTCTGTGATGCTTTCTGCGGCAGATGTCATTCCAGCTTTTGTCCTGGAAGATCACAAATATGAGGATTAAAATACTTCATTCTGGTATATCTCCAACTGAATTTTCCAATGATATAACAATAAATTATAAATAAAAATAAGTAAAGCACAATTTGAACCCAGCAGAATATGACACCGAGGACATACTGTAAATTGCGTCTGCGAACTGTGGACTCTTCTCCACCACCTAGAAGTAGTTCTCTCTGCACAATATTGAAATTGAACAAGTCACATAGCACTCCAACCCATGAATGTAAAGTAACATAAATCACACAAGTCCATGGTTACGATACAACAGGTTTGCTGTCAATATAATCTTCTAAAACACTAGCATAAATTCAGTAGCGTAGTCATTAATTAGAGGATGTTCCGAATAACATCGGAAAAATTAAACAAGAAAAGTAAGTAAATTGCCTCCTCCTGAGCAGCTTTCCTCAAGTTAGCCTTTGCTTGCAGATTGGCGTTCCTCAGATTTAACCGCAAACTAATTAAACAAAAAATGTACTAATCAGCAGAAATTGCAAACATAATAAAACTCATAAGTCACTGCTACTTAAATCAATTTGCTATCCAATCCAATTCAAACAAATATGATTTTAATTTCTATTTAAGAGCAAAAGTAAATAGAGAGGGTGAGAGTGCGTGTGTACCTTTGAGTTAGGGTTTTCCAGGATTGAAGCAAGGCACGAGCAGATTGGACTTCTTGTTCAGAGGGCAACTGAGGAGCGAGAAGATCGAGGGTGAAGAGGAAAGAAGAAAGGAGTGCCAAGCCATCCTGAGCAATCCCATTCAACCTAGCAAGCGAATTTTTCTCCTCCTTTGCTCTTCCTGATTTTCCGTACTCTCCGATTGCCTCAATGTGCTCCTGCGTTTTGGTGTATGTTTCGTCCCATTCCTTCTTCAACTTTTCCACCTCCTCCACGACCTTGTCCATCACTGTTGTTTTACCCTAAGCACTGTCTGATGCTGTTGTGTTCTTGCTTTGCCCTGTTTGATAGGATCTTTGGTTGGTTACAAAAAGTGAGTTTCTACACTTGGTCTAATAAGTTTCAAAAAATTGACAGAAAAAGTTCCTGAACATATTTTTTCTTAAAACTAAAATTAAAACAAGTTGTTAATCAATTAATATGTTCATCTTATTGTAACCGACACTTAATTAGTAGCTGCGTTATTTATCTTATTCATTTTAATTAAAATTCATGTCTTTCATTATTTAATAATTAGTTCGAACTTCGAAGGATACAACGTGCAAATTATGTCTCTCTCCTGTAATATAGACCCTATCATTTGAGATTACTTGCAGCTAATGTCTAACACATTAAACTAAATTCTGTTCAAATAAACTTATCCATAAATATTTATAAGAGGAGAAATTAGAAAGACAAAATGAAATAAGTTTATTGTATAAGTTAAAGTCAAACACTTTCGAAAAACTTCTCTCATTTAGTCCATAGATTAATGAATTGATTGTGTAAATTTTAAACTAACTCCTTATGTTCTCACTAATGTTCTATTTTATAATTGCTGTAACTAGACATTTTTCTCCTGTTTTTAGCTTTTATATTAAGTTATATAGCCATGTTATTTGATCTTCGTTAGATAGGATATCTGTAGAGACATGGGTTTCAAATTATACATTTTTAGATCATTTTTAATAGTCAAAAGAATTGGAACAAATTTGGTGGCACGTCATCAATACTAACAAACCTATGCATTACAACCATATTATTTGCATCCTTTGAATCTTATAGCATAATTCCATGATAAAATAATCCCATATTATTAGTATAAAATCTTATAGCATAATTCCATTACAACCATATTATTTTTGCATCCTTTAAATGATAGTGTAGTCCATTCTTATATATGACTATAAGATATTGGAATCTTATACTCCTGTTGGTATATTAGTGATTTAAGTCAAATTCAATGACCAGAATTTCAATTAACAGTCCAAGCCCACAACTTATAACTCTATCTATATAGTCCATGGTACAACAGTAACCCAATTTCATATACATATGATTGAACATCCTTGTACTAATCTCTCAAATAATTTTGAACAATGCTTTCTCTTTTCCCTCTAATTGGAATTTATGTTTCCGCGGTCTCCTTCCAATATTTGATTAATCCAATTAAGAACTCTAAAAGATTGACACTAAGATTAGAAGGTTTAGTACCCGAAAGACCAAAAAAAATTTCCATTTCGTACCAATTTCCCTACTCCTTTACCAGCCACATAACTAACCAAAGTATACACGTTGAACAATTAGACCCTCCAGCAGTGAAATAACATGTATCCTCTAAACTTTTACAGGTTTTTCTATTATAATTGATTAATTTATTTGAAATTGCTTTATGTAAAAAAATTGGTGGTGAAGAAATGGAACCACGTGATAAGCACCATTGTCCAAAGCAATACCTAATGCAATACTATCAACTGGAAATGACACTATGCAAATGCACCTTATATTAAATTTGTCAACTGTTGAAACTCCCACAATGTCTTATCCACAGGGAAAAATATCCCAAAAAATGCAACACTGATATTGGGCTAACACACAACGGACTATTTAGAACACTTGGTTTCCTTAATAACAGCCCACCGATAATTGAACTCCTCAATTAAAAGAATCAAATCAAAACTAATTGAACACAGCCAATTAGTTTCGAATTTCTCCGGTAATTAAACCAATGTAGCCTACTCTTTTATTACTATATCCCAAATCCAATATAAAACTGAACCAAAAAAAGATACAGCTTTTCACCAATTAGAGTTCTTCTCCCCAAAGCGGAGCATAAGATCATAATAGTTATACTTTTTCTTTTTAACTGATACAGCTTTCTAAAGAAGAAGAATGTACTATAGAAGATAAAGTGTATATATATTTGCAGCTGAAGATTATGATAAAATTAAGCAAATGTTTACTAAATTTTATGTTTCATTATGCTTGATAATTCCCAAATTAATGAAATTCTAATGACTTCCATGGAGGAGACAATTTGGGCTGATCCATGGGATTGGGCAGCTGGACCGTTATTCATTCACAATGTCTGTACCCACCTCCTTTTTTAACTAATATATCATCTCACCTACCAAAATATTTCATCTGAACCTGGTGCATTATATATATTTGATTAATGAAACTATGACGTAGCAAAAAAAAATGTGAATGGTCACATTCATTTTAAGAAAGAAAAGTTAGCTGTCGGGTGTGACATTGAGACACACTTGCTGCACCTAAGGATTTCTTTGGCTAGTTGTATTTTTCTTCTTTATTTTTTGAATAAATTCATGAAGTGGCTGAATAATATGCATAGGCTACGATATTCGATTAGCTTTCAAAATAATTTCCCACAAACAGTGTTCTATGTCAAACAGTAGTCCAACCAGTTGCAACAGTCTCTAATGTGTGTCTGTGCACCATCAATATTCTCTATGTGCATTGACCAGCCAATGCAGAAGGCTTCTTGTTGGTTCCTCATCACCATCTATGCTTAAATATCCCACTATTTGTGATCGACAAGACCCCATTTCTCAACGTCAATTGTGAAGTTCCTTTTCATCTTTTGAAAATTGGCCTTACATTACAAGTGGACAAGCTCTATATATTTCATGCACTAACAAAATGCAAAGCAAAACCTGAGATCAAAGCAATCTTATATATTATTTCTTTTCATTCTTCTCTCTCTGTGCTACTAACCCCATCACTTCACTCTCTATATTTAGAATTTGTAGGTATCACTCTCTCCTCTTCCTCGTATGGCAAGAGGAGGTTGGGAAAGACTGCCATATCCACTCGTGCAAAAGAATAAATCACCAAAAAAGGTGAGGTAGAAATTAAATATGTTCTTCAACACAGCCACCAATAGAACCGTGTTCATCACAAGCACAGGTAGCACCCCTTCAGATGCACTAGGGAAATTTGAGAGACCCGTCATTGATAATTCTCACACACACTAAGCCACAAATTGACTTGCTACTTAACTGAGTTCACAAAGGAGAATGAGACCAGACCCAGCCACAGTTCAAATACATAAAAAATAATAAATAATAAATAAATAAAAACATTTAATCATAATTTCAAACATGGATCCTACGGAGGCTTATGAATTCATATGGTTGAGAGTTCAAAAATCCTAAAATAGTCATGGTAGCAGAACACAAAATCAAAATCCAGCTTACCTAGAAAGCAAAATCAAACAGACAAATCAACAAATCCTGGGACCAAATCTAAATCCACAAACAATAAAAAGAAATGCGGAGATGAGAGAGGGAGAGAGACAAACCAGAGAAAGAGTGAGCTCAAGGAGCGAATGTCGAACCGAGAACCAGCGAACCTCGAGCGAGAGCGAGAGCGAGGGCGATTCTTTGTTTTCGTTTTCTTTTGGAAGGAATTTACAATTCTAAAAACTTTGGTTAATTAAAATTACGTTTTAAAATTCTGAAAAACTTTACAATTCTGAATTACTTTGCAATTCAATGTAAACCTACCCGAATTTTGATCCTTAGTATATTTTTTCATTCATTTTATTTTATTATTATTTTTTTGGTAAAGATAAAAATAATATAAAATCCTTTTTTTATAAAATAAATATTTGTTCAATTAAATTATTAGTATATACTATAAGATTAAAAATTAATCAATTAAATAATAATGAGTTATACACAAATCTTCTATAATTTTTTATTTATTTGCATTCAATTTTTTATTACTTTAAGTAATAAAAGGTTAAAATAAAATTTCTTATTTATAAAGATTAAAAAATTGACTTATATATTAAAATAATATGTATATTATTAGGTATTTTAATTATTACACTATTTGTATTATTTTTATTTTCTATAAAAAAAAATACTTTATTTAAAAAAGTTATCGTCAATGAATGTTTAATTTTTTTATTCATTGCAATTACAATGGTAAGATTGTAAAATGAATGTATAAAATCTTGTTTCTACCACATAAAATTGGGATAGGTGATAAAACATTTATTTTCTTGATTAAACTTTTTTTTATAATTTAACTTATTTATTTTAGATCTTATAATTTAAAATACATTTTTTTTAATTTTATAATTTTTATTGTTAATTTTTTTGTAATGTTATTTCTTCTGTGTTAATATGAAATGGATATTCAACTTTATGTTTCTGATATCAAATTTATTTTACTGAAATTATTTTAAATTAATTTTTTTAACATAAAAAAATTATAAAATAGTTCACAACCTATAAAGTTTATGGAAAAAAAAAAAGAAGAAAGAAACTCCTAAAAGTTTAATAAACCAAAAATGCAACAACTAAGCAACAAACAAATAAAAAAAGGCAATAACAATTTCAAATTAAACACTAGTTCAAATCAAAATAATAGAGCCACCAAATAGATGTAGAGGGCAAATGCAAAGTGTGAGTGATTTTGTTGTTGTGCAATGAGGATGAACATGGAGTGGGTGGATGAAGTTGTCGTAGTGTAGGGAGGTTTTCATTGTTTAGAATGTGCGACTGCGAAAGAAAATAAATGACGAAAGTGTTGTGTGTCTATGTGAAACAAAAGGTTTTTTTTATTTTTTTATTTTTTGCATTTTGGAGAGCATAACTAGTGTGTGTGTGGTGACCCATTTGGGTCAATGTGTCTCGTCAAGCCGTTAGTTTTCTACCAAACCCGTCGAGTCAAAAACATCTCCAATCATATGTGTGGTTCAGACTTCAGACTAGTTTCTGGGTGAACCAATCAAATGGACCGATCCAAACTGAGTCTAATATCTTTAATTATCTTTTGTAAATTGTTTAAATTCAAGATGTTTTATTTGATAGGGTTTTATGGGATAAATTAAAAAAAAAAAACATTAAAAGATTTCAAAGTGAAACAATCACTTTCTCACATATCACGAACTACCAAAAATCATATTAAGGGATTAAGATTTTTCTTTTGAAGAGTATGATTTGAAAATTTCAATCGAATAACCTTTATTTGAATGGAGGACTATCTATTTTTTTATTATCAAGCACCAAAAGCATGGTGTTTGGTCCACACGAATAACAGCAGAGTGAGATTTGGTGCTAAGCATAGAAAGGGCAAGAGTAATTTTGTGAAACAATACAAAATCTTCATTCTTACATAATTGTCAACATTAGGTTAACACATTTTTGTATAAACTATTGTTTAACCTAATTTGCATCCTTATTTTTACTATATAAGTTGAATTTTATGTCAAATTTAATTAAATCTATTGTAAATTAACTAAATTTTATTTAATTGATTAATCATTAAATTAAATGACATTTAATTTAATCACTTGTTCAAAGTTTTTACTCAATGTGTGTAACCTCATAAGTTTTAACTTAATTGGCAATAATATTTAAATATCATGTTGAATATAATATTAAATATTATAGATAAATATTGACATCTAACAATGTATCATTATTACTCAATTAATGAAAAAAATTGATGATCCAATTTCAACATTCCACAAGCATAATTACTGTAGAATACTTTGTCCATTTGTTCATATGCCATTGATTGAACACAACACATAAGAGTGTCGCTTTCATTATGTCCAATCATATATTTTTCAATACTTAAGTAAAATGTTCAAACACAAATAGACTTAATATCTCATATTGGTCTATTTTCTCATGATCACATGTGTTTCATGTCTCATTCTATTGAGAAGTTAACAACATATCTCCCATTATGCAAGAGGCATGAATAATTTCTACATTGCTCACATCCTTCTACATGGTTTATTATAGGTTTAATTAACTACCTTTATGATTAACTTGTTATAGATAACATTTGATAATGTCAAAGCCTACAACTTACATATAAGAATCATAATGATTTCAACTCGAAGGACTACTTTACTGCAGTCACCATGAGAATCATTTATGACAATTGTATGATTATTATGAAGTCTCCTCATAGTGAGTCTATCCAATATAAATATTACTCCTAATGTTTATACATGTGTGTTTGACTTTATATCTCATATACATGACTTGTGAGATGCAGATATCAATCAACTCACACAATAATCTCAATATATTATTATCATCTTAGTTAACAATAATATTTGGTTACAAATAATTTAAGAGTAATATTTTTGTTTAAAGAATCTCACAATCAAGTCACACTTGGTATATCTTTGAACGAATAGTTTAATCTAATAACATTATTATGCTACAATGACACAATAACTTAAATATCTTTTTATATAAATAATAAAATACTTATATATCAAGCCATGATATATAAATGTTTGGTCACTAAGACTATTTTCAACATTGTCTTACGGATAACATAACATCTTATTCATGTATAAAGGGGTACATCGACATAGGTTTAACTTCTAAACTTAATTCATTATTCACTTATGAAACCATTTTTTACTTGAGCTTGAGTTAGCATCTACGACTCTTTTGCAAGTGTCTCCGCTATGAGAACTAAGGATAGAAGATTATCATTATATATTGACAAAACACTTGTAAATTCCCATATGAATAAAAGAGTTTTAAAAAGTGTTTTAAATAGAAAATAACAAAAAAATATTTATATTGTATATCCTTCTTTTTTATTGGGTTACATTGTGAATAAATATTCCAATTAGAGTTATGTCAATATTCATCTTTTGTTAAACATTCAAATGAATTTCATGACATAATTAATGATTACAGCAAAAAAATATTATTTTTATTAAAAATAAATTTTGTTATAGTGATAATAAATAAAGAAAAAATGAGAAAGTACTATAACAAACAATATGACAAAGACTCACAGTAGCTCGTGCTAGGACAACGAGATAAAAATATAAGATGGATGAAATATATTGTGTCAATTGCCACCTATCACAATTTAACCTAAAATGACAAATCACTAATGTAATCTTTAGCTTTCTACATATATTTTTTTTTAACATATTTGGATTAAGAAAACATTGAATTGCTAGCGAGGGCAATATTAGATTTTTAAATTATAAATTTAATAATTGTGTCGCAAATAAATTTATCTATTTTAAATTTTATATTAATTGGTTTGAATTTAAACATTTTGTTAAACTTTTTTGTTCAATAATTATAGGGTAACTCATACTTTCTTTCAACTTTAGTTGTTGTAAAGTAGCTATACACATTGTAACACTTTTCTATCCCAAAGTATAATAAATAAAGATTTTTCTTTTAAAATCATAAATAAATTAAAATCATTATAAAAACATATTTGAACTTAGTTCACCTAGTAAGAAGATTCACATAACTTTAATTAAAATTCTTAAAATCATCATATGAATAACTTTAATCAAATTTAAAACAAGGCACAAAATGCTTGATTACACAAATCTAATATAAACATAAAACGACATAGGATAAATTTTAGTATAACTGTAAATACAAAAGCATGAATTCTTTGTCCCAATGTCACACTATATATCAAAGCAAGACTCAAAATAATGAGAGAAGCTTTAAGCTTTGCCTCTATCAAACTCTTCTTTTTTACCTGATCTTGTCTTACAAGTGGCAATCAACCTAAATACACACAAATACAAACTTCGGGGCTTATGAAACATCTTCTTCATGTATAACACATATATAAGGCAAAGGATGGTACCAACAAAATATACAATAACGTTAACATCATTCATATAGGTACATTCATGTTTAACATCTCATGACATATTCATATCAAAATAATAATCATATCACATACATCCATCATCAATAATAACCATTCATTTCACTCAAGATATTTCAATTATAATTAAGACTCATGTGAATGCATATACTTGACTTATATGTACGTGGTACCAATCTCCTCATCATCACCAACTCAAGGCAACCTAGGAGTCATGGAATGGAATCACTACACACTAGATGAACCTTAATCCATTATCAACTAGGAGATGTCTATCAATGTCCAATCAAAGTGTTACTATCAACCATGGTTACCTCACACCCCATTTGAGGCTCCTTACCATAACACCCTGAAGGTATAGGTAAATGACCTTTGAGACCCTCCTACATAGACTCACATTACATTACAAACAAACATAAATGCATGACTCTACAACCAACAACATCACAACACAATATATGCAATGACAATTGTTGATACTTGACAAACCGCAACCCTAGACTTCTCCACAACACATTAAGTTTTGCTTGGATCACAACATTGTTAACTACAGTTTAAACTTGCATGTTCATCATTATCACCATATCTCATCCTCAAACACCAACATGAAACAATATCATTTGTCATAACATTACAACATTCATCATTTTTACATCATTATCACAACATCCCCACTATTCATTCATTTATTCAAGGTATATGTTTAGCCTCATAAATTTTATAGGCAAAGCTACCATTCAACACTAGCATGCATGCATAAACACACTACAGGGATTGCCTCACTAACC